CATTTATGGGACGGGCGGGCGTGGTGGGCGCTCGGGTCGTAATGTTGTAGCTCGATATGGCCCTCTAAGGTGCCTCCCTCAGAAAAGGCGCTACGCAGCACCTGCTTAGGGTCGCGGAATCCTATCCTGCCAGGCATCAGTCCTACTCTTCTTAGAGATTTATCGTGCCAACTGCCTTTAACTGAAACACCAACCACTCACAAGCACGCCCTGAATCGGCAGCTGTCTACGGAGAAGCAGTCTCCACCGCAGTCACAACTAGGTCTGCAATGCCCCCACCTCTCGCACGGAGTGTTATAAACACACACCCATAATTAACTACAACTCCTAAAGATAGATGAATAAAGGAACTGAGCCTTGAAACAACCTGTAGGATCCCCACGTCTCCTCGTCTTTCACTTCAAACCACGACTTCAACTCGTAGTTGTCATCGTTCAACTAAAAAATAATTGAATAAAAAAGCAACCAGACAGAGTAGAATAGCGTAAGCTACTGACATCGGTATCGTCGGAAACGATCACAGCAATGTTTTCAATGGCGCCATTCAGTGGGGAGAAAACCTGAAATGACACAGATTTGTGCTCAGTCAAGGTGTGGAACATCACATCCACGCTGCGGGTGCGCGTACAAACTAGCTACTACTCCCTTAATAGTTTCTCCATGGAGCAGTTCCATGTTAATCAGTTAGGTCCTGGTGAGACTGCTGCGCATGCTCTTCCCATCTGGGGAGAACGGGTTAGGCGCCATGGCACACTGCTTGACACGCCTCTTCATCTGCCAACGTCTCACACGCTCTGCCATCATCACCATCATCCCCTCATCCCCAGTCACGATAAAGACAATATAGACACATGGAGATCAGCCACTTTTCGAATTGCTACTGCTAACCTGGTGATCGTTTTCGAATGCGACGGTCAGCTCACGACTGCCTTGTCTCTTCAAAGTGGGCGAAAATCGGCTTTCTAAATGAGTTGACCTGCAGTGGCTTTTAGGAACCTCTCTTCAGAAAGAAAACACAAAAAATACTGTCAAAAACAATCAAAAATTGAGAAGTAGTTCACAAAAGTTGGAGCGAAGTTTGCAGTCAAAACTTTCTCCACATAAAATAAAAGTCTACCTCTTGGCACATAAACAGTAATCATTTCGCTTTCACTTTCAGCAGCAGCTTTTCCTGCGCCCATAATTACCGTAATAGTGAACGTGTAGTACACATCAGGCATGAGAGCACTGAATCGATGACGACTTGCTCCTTTCAGTTCCACAGATACGGTAGCAACCCTGTCGGCGTTGTAGCTGAACATTGGCAAACTTTACGTAAGTGCTATACCTCAGAGTTAGAAATGAACAAGAGGCAGGGCGCACTATTAGCTGGGGATTTTGGTGGAGGCACAACCTCCCTTTTTTAGGAGGTACGTACGATCCCCTCCTCGGTTCCCTCTTCATCGAGCTGTTGAGCGGGAGGGTGAATACGACTCCCTCTCTAACATTTCTTTCTTGGATTTCCCCCTACCCCAACTTATTCCACATTTTCCGAATATGCCGGAAATTTTTC